CAACGAAGGGTTTAAACCTCTAAAAAATAACAAAGAAGCAATTTCACTTGTATTAAAAACAATCATTCCCTAGATTTAATAGTAGCTAATAATGTTCTCACGTAGATGTTTTTCCATCATAACCATATAAAAATGAAACCTTTGAAAATAGGAAAGAAAGTAGTGAAGAAAAAAAGAAAAAAGTGTTTGATGGCTAGTTTAAAGAGAAATCAGATTACTTCTCGTTAAAAAAAACTTACATTACAATGACTTATTACAGGAGAAGAATCAATAATAAATAAATAAAAGTGATACTAATTAAGTTATTGATAAGTAAATAGTATAAAATAAAATATAAACTACACATTTGGAAATAGGAATGAAAGTAACGAAAAAAAAGTTTGATGATTTATGAGTCTCTTGTTTAAATGGCTCACACCTAAGTCACTCGTAGTTTAAACTAAGATAATATGTACGCAACATATTTATAGCATTATTATTAGTCTCTTACTTAGATGGATCAAGATTATCTAGACCCATATATTATACTATTTGATTAACATTTAATTACATAATTATGTTAATACTATTGTTTACGTGAATAAACAGAAATTCTGTAGGTCATATTCACACGTTTGGGTGCCGAATGGTATATTTCTAAGTAGAATTGTTTTCTCACATAAAACCATACCTTGTGAGAAAAATGCATTGTGAAAGAAATCTCGAGTTGTGTACTCTCTATTTTGTCCACACAAAAAAAAGTATACGGTCTAACTTGGAAAAGTTGAATAGTCTAATTTGGCCCAGTTTATATTTTAGTGAAAGTTTCATGGAATTGGGTTACGCCCACAACTGAGTAAAACTTTTCATTTTATACTTTTAAATTAAGAAATAGAAAATGTAATTGCACACTGTAAATTAAAGGCCCTCTAAGCTGAACAATTTAAGTTGCTATGTAACAATTTTTCCACATTTCGTTTTTGTCTGGTGTGCACTACCTGACTTATGATTACTAGCTTTTTTTTAAAAGGTTCTAATATTAATGCTTTTAAAATTGAATTGTTACTAAATCAAAGAAGAAGTTAATTGGTAATTCATTAATTATATATTGTCGAGGGCATTGATCAAGTAGAAAAGATTATTTAAAATATCGAAAGTTTCCCGTAAAACCAAAAACTAGTGAAGTAAGTCTCAATCAATCGAAGAAAAAACTTTATATTGTTTAATTGATCTTTTGTTTAGGCATACTTGTTTGTTGTTTGATTAATTAATATCCTCTTATGATCTTAAATCACAATGTTCACACAAAACGTAGTTTAGTTGATGAACAATCTTTTTACTTGTGACATAGTGTTTGGGACACATTTCCAAAAAAAAAAAAATACAAGGATTAATAATGAAAAATGGTTAATCTAATTGATTATTACAATTTAGGTCACCACTCTCATTGATTACAAGTTTCTTTATTGGTAATTTACTTTTTTTGCAATTTATTTTAGTGTTCTTATTATTTTATTGTAATTTTTCCTACCATCGTACCTACCACTATGGGTTTTTACCATATTTTCTTTATGCTTTATCCATTGTCATTATATTTCCACTCCCATCATTATCGAGAAATCAAGAGAAACAAAAATATAAATTTGTTATATATGAACTTCTTATTGAAACCAATGTAAAAAAGAGATCAAATTTATTAAATATTTGAGTGACATAGGTTCACAAAATTAACAACTTTATGTAAAACAAATTTTCTTCATCACATTTAAACGTGAAAACACTCCTATTAGATTTAAAAATGAGTGTATGATGCTTTGTAAAAAAAAAAAAAACTCACATTAAATCTTTTATTGTGAATAAGAGTGGAAAATTAATCTCTCTCTCTCTCTCTCTCTCTCTCTCTCTCTCTATATATATATATATATATATATATATATTTGCAATGTTTTAAAGTAACATATGAATTGTAATCCAATCAGATAATAATTTTATATACACAAGTTACACTATTAAAAATGTGTTTTTTTGACTTTAAAAACAGTTTTAATAATAATGAAAAGCTAATGAATCTATTTGAACAGTAAAACCAGGCAGAGTAAAGAAGCGACTCGGAGAGTGCCGACGAATGGCGTAGACTTTGAAGTTAACCTCTCTTCCATTATTTATCATTATTTATAAGTGAACTGAAATGAATAAGACAAGAGAAAAATATACAAAAGACAAAATATCCACTGTGTGAAATCAAAGTAAATATTAAAGTATTAATTAAAAGAAGAAGAAAAAACCATAACTCAACATAGATATAACTAGTCTATTTACTTTTAGATCAGCACTATTTTTAACTCCATCGTCTTCTTTCCTTGCTTTTTATTCCTTTCAATTTATTTCATACAAAAGTGGTAGGTTGAAAACAAAATTCAAAAATTAATTTTTTGTTTTACAAATTGTTTTAATTTTCTTTTCAACTAAATAAATAATGTGGTATGGTCTATATTTTCTTTTATTCACTGCTGATGACATTATTACATAATTGCAGTAAAACAATATTATTGAATGGCTTTTATATATCTATTATTTCATTCCGTTAATATCTATTTTTTTTTATCTGTCCAACTATTTTGTTATCCTGTACTTAAATATAATAAAATCTTATTCCAATAATTTATATATAAGCAAATTATAACTATTTCAAACTCATTTAATATTAAAAATAGTTAAATATTTAAAATAAATTAAATTTTAAATTCATTTGAGTATTTTTAATCGAGTCTTATTAAATTTTTATATTTATTAATTACTTAAAACTTTTATATTTTTTGTGTTATTTTTTTTCTTAATTATGAGACGTGGTTGTTATCTTATCCTATAATTTAATTTACATGTTAGGGCTTCTGAAAGTTTGGACAAATCAATTACAAAATTCACTGAATAAATATTAAGTTGAGTTGGGTTATTCCAATTTGTATGCTAAACCTAATCCAATTCAAGTTACTTTTAAACTCAGATTTGTTTGAGTCAAATTTTAAAAAACTTTTTTTTTGTTAAATATTAAAATTTTGAATTATCAACCTAATTAAAAATATAAGACATCATTTACAAAAATTATATCAATGTTTTAAAGCAAGTCAATTAGTTAAATCGTAATAAGATTTTCAAAACTAATTCAAGATATGAAATAAAACAATATATCACAATTTTTTTCATAATACAAGTATAAGAGAAAATATTAATTTAGGTGTCAAATCATCATATTAATTAAATCCATCATCTAATCCATACAAGAGTGAATTAGTTAGTTAGAATTGTATTAGATTTAACTAAATAATATATGAAAACAAATCCAATTTAAATGGGTTAAATTGGGTCATTGGATAACCCAACCCAATGAACATTCACATTTTAAGAAATATAAGAGATAGTGCATTAATAGTTATAAGTGATTCGTGAAAGCGCTCTATAAATATGATAACTTCGTCATTCATCTTATTTTCAACCAAAGCATTAAGAAACTCTTGTTATATTAAGTTAACATTAATATTATCTTTAATTTTATATTAAACACCGATAACTTTTTAGCAAGTATACGAAATCATTTAAATAATACAGGAAATTAAGTTAAAAGTATAGTTCTCCCAAAAGAATTGGAGTCAAGTTTATTCAATTAAGACTATTTATCAAAATCTAACATCCTGGACAAAATACTTTATCTGTTCAAGCATTCACATAAGCGTATCTTGATTTAAGTAATTCCTTAAAACAAGTTCTAAAATTATCCATTAAATTATTAATTCCTTAATTAATTCAACAGATAATTTTGCATTAAATTCAGATGACCAAAAACACAGAAGTTATTTCTAGCATACCTTTTCTTACGTTTCTGTTGTAAAAAATACTTTCCAAAAGAAAGTTTAAAAAAAATTATACTTCCGTATAATCATAAGCAAGTCAAGAAAAGAACAAGAACATAGACATATATTACACAGGAAATTTACATGAATGTATTGTCATACGACTAATTCTAATGAACATAAAAACCAGCCTCTCCTAGACATCTAGAACGTACTTACAGAAATTCCTTGCAGAAGTGAAGTCTTGATGCCTTGAAGTGTCTCATGAGCGTCTCCTGAAGTTCTCAAGTATTTTTCTCCTTTTGTTTGTGTGTCAGAAGATCGTTTTTGTCTTTCTGTCACGTCTTTTTAAGCCATTTAACTTCATTAATTCGCTTCGCACACATATGTGTATGCGCTGTGCGAATTTTCTTAACTACTGCACTTCAACTAATGCTATTCGCACAACGCTTAGCGAGAATTGGCTGACAACAGTCCAAATAATACAACCTTTCATGTACAATGTTTTACATAACATCTACTTCCTATTTCCTATTACAACTTTCACTGAGTAATAACATGAATAATTACCATATTAAGTTTATTTATAAGTGTAAAAACAACTCTTTTTCACCCTTATCAAACACACAATATTTTTTCAATACATAGACATATAAGTAAGCAAAATTAAAAGATAAAAATAAGATAAATCATCCAATTAACGAAAAAATAATACAGTAATAACTTAATAAAAAAAATATAAAATTTTTAATTAGTCAATAGATTAAAAATATTAATAAAAATTGAATTGAAAATAATTAATTTTTACCGGGGTCTCGATACTCAATTAAACACATATTTAAATTTACATATCATTTCTAGTAAATGGGATTAAATATAATTATAAATATATATAATTTTATAAAAACAAGAATATTAAATAAACTTATTAAGATGCTAAATGAGTGTAAAATTAAAAGAAAAATGGTTTATATTAAAATTGACTAGTAATAGTTACTGTAACTACAGATGTGTGTCTTCTCTCCCCTTACGTAAGATTTTTCTTTGACTAGTGATGATTGCCTTAGAATATCTTTGTTGGGCATGCCGAGTGAGACTTAAACATGACTGGTAAATTGTAGCTCGTTGAAAGATCAACAAATTCTATTTTTTATTTTTTATTTTTCTGAGAAAGAAGATGAACAATTAAGAAATTAACGAGAGGTTGAAATAGTAGTTGATTTTATAGCATTTGGTGTCAAAATTTTGGGAAGAAGGATCACTTAGATCGTAGAAGGCTTGTTATAGCAATGAGAAGTGAAGAGATTGTGTTGTCTTTCTCCTTTCTTCTTCTCTGCCTGCCGCTATGCTTCCAAATATGTTTGGGTGGAGATACTCTGAAGGCTAACCAGTTCATAACTCAGGACTCCCAAGGAAACCTTGTTTCATCTAACGCCACATTTGAGCTGGGCTTTTTTTCTCCTGCTGAGAAAAGTGGAGGGAAATACCTGGGGATTTGGTATCACGCCTTGGAACCACAAACAGTAGTGTGGGTTGCCAACAGAGATCATCCTGTTCCAGATTCCGGTGGAGTTTTTCGAATTGCGGAGGATGGAAATCTGGTGGTAGAATATGCATTCAGAAGCCTCTGGTCTTCTGAACTTGGAGCATCCTCGTCCTCTAACAGAACACTGCAGCTCCTAGATTCTGGGAATCTAGTACTAAAAGAGGATGACTCTGAAGCGACATACCTGTGGGAAAGCTTCCAGAACCCAACAGACACGTTTCTTCCCGGCATGAAAATGGATGCGACTTTGTCGTTGACTTGTTGGAGAGACTCCTCTAACCCAGCACCTGGGAACTTCACCTTCAAGCTGACTCAAAAGGCTGAGACACGGAGCTTCGTTGTGCAATATCAATCACAAATCCACTTGGCACTTGATGAATATGACACAGAAGCGGCTTCCCAGAAGGTATTTAATTTGTTGAACAACGACATCTGGAGTGCTAAAACGTATAATTATTCTAACAAAACACTATTCGTATCAAAACCTTATGTGTACTATAAATCAAGGCTTTTGATGAATTCTAGCGGGGAGATAGTGTTTCTGGAGTGGGATGAGGCAGAATCAAATTGGACTAAGATATGGTCGGCGCCAGAGAACAACTGTGACCTACCTGACTATTGTGGGAGCTTCAGCCTATGTAACAGAGATAACTTCATTCAGTGCAAATGTTTGCCAGGATTCAGTCGTATTCATGATTCTCGTTCTGATGGAGAATCCGAGTCCAAAGGATGTGTGAGAAAATCAGGATCGTGTACCAACAAGGACGTGATGTTCCTGAACTTAACCAAGATAAAAGTGGGCGACCCAGACCAACAAATTTATGCTCAAACAGAAGCAGAATGCCAATCCATCTGCATCGACATGTGTCCCGAATCACAGTGCCAAGCCTATTCATTTAATATTTCGACCAATCGCGACGATAATTTATACTCGTGCAGAATCTGGACGCGGCCTTTACCTTCTCTTGTTGAGAAGTACGCGCGCGGTAGTGATCTTTCTATCTTGGTTAAAACATCAGATATAGGTAATTTATATATTGTTAATTCGAATAGTTGAAAGTTCTAGATGATATTCATAGGTCATATTGTATTGACTCATCAGTTTAAGGGATGGATTGAAAGGTAAACTATGGAACATGATTTATGGCTGAATTATTAATTGTTGTTGTGTAGCACCAACTGCTAAATCGTGTGAACCTTGCGGCACATATGTCATTCCCTATCCGCTGAGCACTGGACCAAACTGTGGAGACCCCATGTACAACAAGTTCAATTGCGACAATTCCACTGGCAAAGTTAGTTTTATGATTCCCGGACGTATATCATACCCAGTAACTTGGATCGATGAAGATTCCAGAATGTTTGCCATTCAAACAGACGATTTCTATTCCTTCAATTACAGTTTCAGCAGTCAGAATAGCACTGATTTTCCGTTTAAGGTAGCTCAGTACAATGAAGATGCCGTAATAAAAATCAGTTGGTTACCAGCGCCAGAACCCCCCTGTAGTCAGCGTACAGACTGCATTAGTTGGCCAAATTCAACATGCAGAGCAACAGGGGAAGGTGGAAGTAGGTGCCTTTGTAATTCAAACTATAAATGGAATAACACATTAATGAGCTGCACCCAAGGTTAGGATTTTGTTATAATCCTCTCAACTTTTCTATTTTTCTCCTTTAATACCCAAAAAATATTGCCAGATTAAAATGATTATAATGGTGTTTGCCCTCATACTTTCTGCATATTTTTTTTCCTTTCTGCGAGAGAAGAGCAATCAGGAAATCACTCAACTCGACTAGAACTGATTCTTTTAGCAACTCTTGGTTCCCTGGCTGCTGTGACATGCATAATAGCTTTTGGCTTCGTGTGGAGAAAGAAAAAGCCCCGTAAACATGGTAATAATATGAAGTTTTGCATGTTGAATTAAAAATCTTTTATCTTCACACAGATAATGAAATGCTATTGATCTGTTGGTACGGAGTTCAGACCGAGCAAGCACCCGAATTCAGGAGAGCTTGTATGAGAGTGAAAGACATGTGAAAGGTTTGATTGGCTTAGGAAGTTTAGAAGAAAAAGACATCGAAGGCATTGAAGTTCCCTTTTACACTTTTGCAAGCATTCTCGCAGCTACAGATAGTTTCTCGGATTCTAACAAGCTTGGAAGAGGAGGTTATGGACCTGTTTATAAGGTGATTTGTTCAGTTCATCAAACTTTATTACCTACCTTGCATTGAATCCTTGCAAAATCTTCTCATGATATAATGTATGGAAACCTTTTATCCAGGGAACGTTTCCTGGAGGTCAAGAAATAGCTGTAAAGAGACTTTCAAGTGTTTCCACTCAAGGCCTGCAAGAATTCAAAAATGAGGTTATTTTGATTGCCAAACTTCAACATCGGAACCTTGTTAGACTGAGGGGCTACTGCATAAAAGGGGATGAAAAAATCTTACTTTATGAATACATGCCAAATAAGAGTTTGGACTCATTTATATTTGGTGAGACTCCATATTCCATCATACAACCTATTCTCTAATTATTACAATCATAACTTCGCTAACCTCGTTCTTGATTTGAAATGTGAAATGCATACGTTGAAAGACCGTAGTCGAACTATACTGTTGGATTGGCCGATGCGGTTTGAGATAATAGTAGGCATTGCACGAGGCATGCTATACCTTCATCAAGACTCTAGATTGAGAGTGATTCATAGAGACATGAAAACCAGCAACGTTCTCTTAGACGAGGAAATGAATCCAAAGATATCTGACTTTGGTCTTGCCAAAATATTTGGAGGAAAAGAAACTGAAGCAAGTACAGGGAGAGTGATGGGAACCTAGTAAGTTCACCATGTACTCTGACATTGTTATTTTTCTGAATATGATGTTCCATACATTCTTGCTACACATAAAAATTTTTATTGTTTTTTTCTTGAAGTGGATACATGGCTCCAGAGTACGCTTTGGATGGACTTTTTTCAGTGAAATCTGATGTTTTCAGTTTTGGAGTGGTCCTACTGGAGATTCTTAGTGGAAAAAAGAACACAGGATTCTATGAGTCCAAACAAATTTCTAGCCTTTTGGGTTATGTATGTTTATTGTGTTGCTGTCTTGTGTTGTTTTTGTGACTTATATTGATTTCTGATTCATTTTTTCTTGACATTATATTTATCAGGCATGGAACTTATGGTCAGAGAACAAGATACTGGATTTAATGGATTCTAGTCTTGGTGAAACATGCAACGAAAATCAATTTTTCAAATGTGCAGTTGTTGGATTATTATGCATACAAGATGAACCNATAGTGCATTAATAGTTATAAGTGATTCGTGAAAGCGCTCTATAAATATGATAACTTCGTCATTCATCTTATTTTCAACCAAAGCATTAAGAAACTCTTGTTATATTAAGTTAACATTAATATTATCTTTAATTTTATATTAAACACCGATAACTTTTTAGCAAGTATACGAAATCATTTAAATAATACAGGAAATTAAGTTAAAAGTATAGTTCTCCCAAAAGAATTGGAGTCAAGTTTATTCAATTAAGACTATTTATCAAAATCTAACATCCTGGACAAAATACTTTATCTGTTCAAGCATTCACATAAGCGTATCTTGATTTAAGTAATTCCTTAAAACAAGTTCTAAAATTATCCATTAAATTATTAATTCCTTAATTAATTCAACAGATAATTTTGCATTAAATTCAGATGACCAAAAACACAGAAGTTATTTCTAGCATACCTTTTCTTACGTTTCTGTTGTAAAAAATACTTTCCAAAAGAAAGTTTAAAAATAATTATACTTCCGTATAATCATAAGCAAGTCAAGAAAAGAACAAGAACATAGACATATATTACACAGGAAATTTACATGAATGTATTGTCATACGACTAATTCTAATGAACATAAAAACCAGCCTCTCCTAGACATCTAGAACGTACTTACAGCAATTCCTTGCAGAAGTGAAGTCTTGATGCCTTGAAGTGTCTCATGAGCGTCTCCTGAAGTTCTCAAGTATTTTTCTCCTTTTGTTTGTGTGTCAGAAGATCGTTTTTGTCTTTCTGTCACGTCTTTTTAAGCCATTTAACTTCATTAATTCGCTTCGCACACATATGTGTATGCGCTGTGCGAATTTTCTTAACTACTGCACTTCAACTAATGCTATTCGCACAACGCTTAGCGAGAATTGGCTGACAACAGTCCAAATAATACAACCTTTCATGTACAATGTTTTACATAACATCTACTTCCTATTTCCTATTACAACTTTCACTGAGTAATAACATGAATAATTACCATATTAAGTTTATTTATAAGTGTAAAAACAACTCTTTTTCACCCTTATCAAACACACAATATTTTTTCAATACATAGACATATAAGTAAGCAAAATTAAAAGATAAAAATAAGATAAATCATCCAATTAACGAAAAAATAATACAGTAATAACTTAATAAAAAAAATATAAAATTTTTAATTAGTCAATAGATTAAAAATATTAATAAAAATTGAATTGAAAATAATTAATTTTTACCGGGGTCTCGATACTCAATTAAACACATATTTAAATTTACATATCATTTCTAGTAAATGGGATTAAATATAATTATAAATATATATAATTTTATAAAAACAAGAATATTAAATAAACTTATTAAGATGCTAAATGAGTGTAAAATTAAAAGAAAAATGGTTTATATTAAAATTGACTAGTAATAGTTACTGTAACTACAGATGTGTGTCTTCTCTCCCCTTACGTAAGATTTTTCTTTGACTAGTGATGATTGCCTTAGAATATCTTTGTTGGGCATGCCGAGTGAGACTTAAACATGACTGGTAAATTGTAGCTCGTTGAAAGATCAACAAATTCTATTTTTTATTTTTTATTTTTCTGAGAAAGAAGATGAACAATTAAGAAATTAACGAGAGGTTGAAATAGTAGTTGATTTTATAGCATTTGGTGTCAAAATTTTGGGAAGAAGGATCACTTAGATCGTAGAAGGCTTGTTATAGCAATGAGAAGTGAAGAGATTGTGTTGTCTTTCTCCTTTCTTCTTCTCTGGCTGCCGATATGCTTCGATATATGTTTGGGTGGAGATGCTCTGAAGGCTAACCAGAACATAACTCAGGACTCCCAAGGAAACCTTGTTTCATCTAACGCCACATTTGAGCTGGGCTTTTTTTCTCCTGCTGAGAAAAGTGGAGGGAAATACCTGGGGATTTGGTATCACGCCTTGGAACCACAAACAGTCGTGTGGGTTGCCAACAGAGATCATCCTGTTCCAGATTCCGGTGGAGTTTTTCGAATTGCGGAGGATGGAAATCTGGTGGTAGAATATGCATTCAGAAGCCTCTGGTCTTCTGAACTTGGAGCATCCTCGTCCTCTAACAGAACACTGCAGCTCCTAGATTCTGGGAATCTAGTACTAAAAGAGGATGACTCTGAAGCGACATACCTGTGGGAAAGCTTCCAGAACCCAACAGACACGTTTCTTCCCGGCATGAAAATGGATGCGACTTTGTCGTTGACTTGTTGGAGAGACTCCTCTAACCCAGCACCTGGGAACTTCACCTTCAAGCTGACTCAAAAGGCTGAGACACGGAGCTTCGTTGTGCAATATCAATCACAAATCCACTTGGCACTTGATGAATATGACACAGAAGCGGCTTCCCAGAAGGTATTTAATTTGTTGAACAACGACATCTGGAGTGCTAAAACGTATAATTATTCTAACAAAACACTATTCGTATCAAAACCTTATGTGTACTATAAATCAAGGCTTTTGATGAATTCTAGCGGGGAGATAGTGTTTCTGGAGTGGGATGAGGCAGAATCAAATTGGACTAAGATATGGTCGGCGCCAGAGAACAACTGTGACCTACCTGACTATTGTGGGAGCTTCAGCCTATGTAACAGAGATAACTTCATTCAGTGCAAATGTTTGCCAGGATTCAGTCGTATTCATGATTCTCGTTCTGATGGAGAATCCGAGTCCAAAGGATGTGTGAGAAAATCAGGATCGTGTACCAACAAGGACGTGATGTTCCTGAACTTAACCAAGATAAAAGTGGGCGACCCAGACCAACAAATTTATGCTCAAACAGAAGCAGAATGCCAATCCATCTGCATCGACATGTGTCCCGAATCACAGTGCCAAGCCTATTCATTTAATATTTCGACCAATCGCGACGATAATTTATACTCGTGCAGAATCTGGACGCGGCCTTTACCTTCTCTTGTTGAGAAGTACGCGCGCGGTAGTGATCTTTCTATCTTGGTTAAAACATCAGATATAGGTAATTTATATATTGTTAATTCGAATAGTTGAAAGTTCTAGATGATATTCATAGGTCATATTGTATTGACTCATCAGTTTAAGGGATGGATTGAAAGGTAAACTATGGAACATGATTTATGGCTGAATTATTAATTGTTGTTGTGTAGCACCAACTGCTAAATCGTGTGAACCTTGCGGCACATATGTCATTCCCTATCCGCTGAGCACTGGACCAAACTGTGGAGACCCCATGTACAACAAGTTCAATTGCGACAATTCCACTGGCAAAGTTAGTTTTATGATTCCCGGACGTATATCATACCCAGTAACTTGGATCGATGAAGATTCCAGAATGTTTGCCATTCAAACAGACGATTTCTATTCCTTCAATTACAGTTTCAGCAGTCAGAATAGCACTGATTTTCCGTTTAAGGTAGCTCAGTACAATGAAGATGCCGTAATAAAAATCAGTTGGTTACCAGCGCCAGAACCCCCCTGTAGTCAGCGTACAGACTGCATTAGTTGGCCAAATTCAACATGCAGAGCAACAGGGGAAGGTGGAAGTAGGTGCCTTTGTAATTCAAACTATAAATGGAATAACACATTAATGAGCTGCACCCAAGGTTAGGATTTTGTTATAATCCTCTCGACTTTTCTATTTTTCTCCTTTAATACCCAAAAAATATTGCCAGATTAAAATGATTATAATGGTGTTTGCCCTCATACTTTCTGCATATTTTTTTTCCTTTCTGCGAGAGAAGAGCAATCAGGAAATCACTCAACTCGACTAGAACTGATTCTTTTAGCAACTCTTGGTTCCCTGGCTGCTGTGACATGCATAATAGCTTTTGGCTTCGTGTGGAGAAAGAAAAAGCCCCGTAAACATGGTAATAATATGAAGTTTTGCATGTTGAATTAAAAATCTTTTATCTTCACACAGATAATGAAATGCTATTGATCTGTTGGTACGGAGTTCAGACCGAGCAAGCACCCGAATTCAGGAGAGCTTGTATGAGAGTGAAAGACATGTGAAAGGTTTGATTGGCTTAGGAAGTTTAGAAGAAAAAGACATCGAAGGCATTGAAGTTCCCTTTTACACTTTTGCAAGCATTCTCGCAGCTACAGATAGTTTCTCGGATTCTAACAAGCTTGGAAGAGGAGGTTATGGACCTGTTTATAAGGTGATTTGTTCAGTTCATCAAACTTTATTACCTACCTTGCATTGAATCCTTGCAAAATCTTCTCATGATATAATGTATGGAAACCTTTTATCCAGGGAACGTTTCCTGGAGGTCAAGAAATAGCTGTAAAGAGACTTTCAAGTGTTTCCACTCAAGGCCTGCAAGAATTCAAAAATGAGGTTATTTTGATTGCCAAACTTCAACATCGGAACCTTGTTAGACTGAGGGGCTACTGCATAAAAGGGGATGAAAAAATCTTACTTTATGAATACATGCCAAATAAGAGTTTGGACTCATTTATATTTGGTGAGACTCCATATTCCATCATACAACCTATTCTCTAATTATTACAATCATAACTTCGCTAACCTCGTTCTTGATTTGAAATGTGAAATGCATACGTTGAAAGACCGTAGTCGAACTATACTGTTGGATTGGCCGATGCGGTTTGAGATAATAGTAGGCATTGCACGAGGCATGCTATACCTTCATCAAGACTCTAGATTGAGAGTGATTCATAGAGACATGAAAACCAGCAACGTTCTCTTAGACGAGGAAATGAATCCAAAGATATCTGACTTTGGTCTTGCCAAAATATTTGGAGGAAAAGAAACTGAAGCAAGTACAGGGAGAGTGATGGGAACCTAGTAAGTTCACCATGTACTCTGACATTGTTATTTTTCTGAATATGATGTTCCATACATTCTTGCTACACATAAAAATTTTTATTGTTTTTTTCTTGAAGTGGATACATGGCTCCAGAGTACGCTTTGGATGGACTTTTTTCAGTGAAATCTGATGTTTTCAGTTTTGGAGTGGTCCTACTGGAGATTCTTAGTGGAAAAAAGAACACAGGATTCTATGAGTCCAAACAAATTTCTAGCCTTTTGGGTTATGTATGTTTATTGTGTTGCTGTCTTGTGTTGTTTTTGTGACTTATATTGATTTCTGATTCATTTTTTCTTGACATTATATTTATCAGGCATGGAATTTATGGTCAGAGAACAAGATACTGGATTTAATGGATTCTAGTCTTGGTGAAACATGCAACGAAAATCAATTTTTCAAATGTGCAGTTGTTGGATTATTATGCATACAAGATGAACCAAGTAATCGACCAACTATGTCAAATGTTTTGTACATGCTTGACGTAGAGACAACAACCATGCCAATTCCCACGCAGCCAACATTTTTTATGAACAAGCGTTATTCAAGTTCAGCTTCTTCTTCTAGTAAACCAGAAACAAGTCTGCAATTTGAGAGCGGTTACGAGCAAGGTCGATAGTACGCGACGAAACCTTACATGAAATCTATATCTTGTTATTTTAGTTGTATTTTATAACAAGTTAGGATTTTTTGTATTGTTTTAAGCTCTTTTATAGGGACCAGGAATCTATATATACAGAGAGCTAATGTTTTATTTTTTATCTGCTAATGTTTATGTTTCTGTACCTCATACACACACATAATGTTTATTTATAATAGTGAGTATAAGTTATTTTTGAAGATTGCACTGATCACTTATCTCTTTGAACATGTTAAATGATAATCTTATAGTTTTAAAATTCTTCTGAATGAGATTCATTCTTATTTTTAAATAATATTGACATTTCGTATATTTTAAACTCAATACTTATTTTTTCTTGTAATAATCTAATCATTTCTATATTGTATTTAAAAATACTAGGCACGTCTACAAATTATTTAAATTTTAAAAGTAGTAATTAAAAAATAAAATAAAAAAATGTATATAGATATAATTATAGATAAAATAAATTTAAGTTATTGATATAAAAATATTAGAAGTAATATTATGTAAATAATTTTTTTATTATGAATAATTATTTTAATTTGAAAACTAGTTACAAAATGTTAAAAAAGTAAATAAATCTTTTATAATAAATAATTATTCGAATTAAAATAAATTAATTACAAAGACTGAAAAATAATATTTTTATTGTAAATAACTATTTAAATTTAAAAAATAATAATTAAGAGGATAAAATTGAAAAACAAAAGATGTATCTTTGTATGTAGTTATTTTAGTTACAGATTAAATTAACTAAAAATCATAAAAGAATTTATATATAAAAATGAATAATTTTGATTAAAAAAACTTGAATTATTTAATTGTTAAATATTATAAATATTATAAAAGTTACATTGTGAATAAATTATAAATTGTTATATAAATCTAAAGGTTTTTTATTTTATTTTATTAGCATATATTAGTAACTTTTCTTTAGTTTAATGTAACACATTTATGATAATACGTGTAAGAGCATAGAAAATAACATATTAGATGTGATAGGATGTTTTAAATGATGTTTATTGTAATATCAAAAGTTCAACCATTTAAATAGAATTTTAATTAATGAGTTCATTAGGTAGAAGAACATTATCACTCTAAAACTCTTTCTCTAAAGATTATCTACCATCTCTTTAAGTCTTCTTATCTCTTATTCATTTGTTTGAAGATCACGGAATACTTAAGTGATCACTAAGACGAGGTCTTCAACTATATTCTATCAGTTCTTGCAAAAGAGTAGGTTAATTTATGCTCTTTTCTTTATTTTATGTGTTGTCCAATGCACATGAGTATCGTTTTGTCACATGTATCATTTGAGTATTCTACAAAACTTTGTTGATAAATGATGCTAACATTATGATGTACTGATCATGATTATATGATTATTTGTAGGAACAAATAGAGTTCTCTGAACTGTAAGAATGATTTTTGGTTATAGTAGGTAAGGGAAGCTAATTATCTAATTTAAATTTGTTGATGTGTTGTTAATCTAAATTGCATGTTTGGTTTGAATTAGTCATTTTGGTATGTGGAGTTGTTGTTGTGATTGTTGTATAATATATGCTTGTTTTTATTGGAATTGATGTTGAATTGGAGAATTGAGAATATGATCATTTGAAATTGGAGAATTGAGAATATGATCATTTGAGCAAATTGGTATTCAATGTAGAGTTGTTGTTGTGATTGTTGTGTAATATGTGTTGTTTTATTAGAATTGATGTTGAATTAGAGAATTGAGAATCTAATCATTTGAGCGAACTGGTATTCAATCTAACACTTAAACCTATTTTTAAACCCTTCACTGAGTTGGAATACTAATTTGGTTATTTGAATAAATCTTCAGTTCCTAAAAACTTAGTGTTGAAGCTTCCATTTTTTGATGTGGCGCTGATACGACGCTGAGCACAACTTGTTATTTATAGTCACCAAAAAGTACTTTTCATGTTATTTTAAGGAACACTAACACAAAAGGTTTTTTTAACATATGTTGTTTTAGGCTTTTGATGTCTATTAAAGGTCCAACCTTATAGCCAGAGACATCAAATTGACGTCTGTTGTCTCTTAACAAACATAGTTGCATTATAACAAATGTTATTAACTTCTCTTGCAGGAACAACAAACGTCAAATTGTGTGTTTTTTTTTTGTTAATTTTTTTCGATATTTCCCTTTACTAAAACAATGAAAAAAAATCAGTATACAATACAAGAATACACCACAAAAATTTATAAAATTTTAGAAGTAGTATAGATATCTAAAATAAAAGTGTAAGGTATAGAAAAATAGGAGAAAAATAGGAGAAAAATAATAATACAAAAATTCCTTAAACTATGAATTTTTAAAAATTCCATAACATTTCAGAAAAAATAAAATCTTAAACGATGTTTAGCGCGTTCATCACTCCATTTCCAACAACTTTCATTTTTGGAGCATCTCCATGTATGATATATACCAAAAGTTATGACAATTTAAAATTTACAAAACTCAAGGTTAATCTTAAACTGCAAAAACACAATCTTTAAGACACATAACAATGACCAGTGAATGAAAAAAACAATCTTAATAAGAAATGTAATGAGAGAAAATGAAAGTTTCTGCCCAAACAAATACCACAATCGATAGATAAAGTGAAATGGGTTGAAGAATTTTCTCCTAGAAGTTTAGTATTGTTACTGGACTTTAGTGGGAAGTTTCGTATGAAGGGAAAGATGAGGATGTTGAGATTGCTTCTGAAATTTTAAAATAACATTTGACGTCATATCTATTCACAAGAGATGTTAATTTAGTTTTTAACATCAGCCCGAGGCCAACATACATTCTGACAACATTTAATGTCTGTTTAAGATTAATGTTAAAAGCTAAATTGATGTTTATTGTGAATAAATTCAACTTTAATTTGGACAAAATATTTACAAAAATATTACTATTTATTTTTGAAGTCGAAATTTATTACTTGCAAATTAAATATAATGATGTTATAATATCTTTTTATACTAGTGGAAGGTTGAAAGGGATAAATTTATAGGGAGAGAGACTTATATGAAATGAGAAGGAGAAAGTTAGATTAAGGGATTAATGAATTACACTATATGAAAAAATGTCACTTTATAAACTCGTGTCTAACAAAAACTTAGACTAGATTCTGTTAGTTTTAGAATCTATTCATAGAAATGTTCAAAGTTTTAAGTACATCATAATTTTTTATTAGGTTGTTCTAACCTCAAATTAGAAATGTAAAAGATCCCAAACAAAGTGTAATAATATGGAATTTGCAAATGTGATTGGATAGCCTCTACCAAACGATTCTGCAATATGAGAGGTAAAAAAAATGATTTCCTTTTGAAGATGTATTTTTATTCAAACTTGACTGTTTATTATTCACCTGCAATCTCTATTATTACTATGAACAATATTGTCGCCTATGGTATCCGTTAGACTATGTGATGTTCTCTGTAGGTGAAATTTTTTCCTAAGTTAACTGCTTAAACCATTTAAAAGATTCAAAGAATAACTCGTGTATAAATTATTTGTTTACGCTTGTCTCATTGGAACACATTGTTTCCAAAAGAAATTCCTTCAAAATCTTCATTTTCATTTCAGTTTAAACAGCACCCAGGCCATTTCTATTTTCATTCTCATTCTCATTGATGGGCCTTTACAAACCACATCTTCAAGTTGACGGGCCTTCACTGCCCTATCTGAAAATACTCGTTTCTTCCTGCACCCTCCTTTTTTCTGCACCTCCATATAATTCAAATTCTGAATTATTTTTCATTTAAATTATAATAAAAGATAAAAAATTACTCCCACCTCTCTTTTTTAAATAAATTAGGATAATTCAAAAAATATTTTCATATTCAAAAATATGTTTTGAAAAATTATATTTAAAAGCTACATTTTCGAATGTGCATTTTATAACTCATTTAAAACTTTTATAATATCTTTCAAATTATATATATTCAGAATTAAATTAAAATAAGATTCACCATGTACCCACCACCAGAAGAGGTGCAGCGCTGAAAGAGGTGAAGAACTGGAAACTGACAGGATATAAGAAAAGAAAATAGAGATAAAATTGTCATTTCATCAATTAATAAAAACTATATAGAAAGAAAAAAGGAAGATGCGGGAAGAATCATCCTTTAATATTATGATAAAAGCTACAAGGCAATCCCCACTAAAAATGTCATTTATTAATTAATAAAAAATGTTTTTTTTTTCAGAATAATGAAAAAAGAAAATGCCAAAGTATTGAAAAAATTACTATATTTTTTTAAAAAGTTACTATTAACTTTTGGAGCTGATCAATAAAATAACTTTATACATATATATATATATATATATATACGGTGCTAAAGCATATGATGGTGTTCAAACTTTTCTATGATGTTTTTTTTTCTTTCAAAACCTTATTTTTGAATGTGACATGATCATATGAGTTAATATGGAAACATAAAATGTTCTACCTCTAGTTTTATAACGAAGATGGCACTAAAAACAAGAGATGTAATCCGTGGTGCTGAATTTGTTGTATTCCATAAATGTCAAGCATCACAATGTGGTTAGTCACATGAATTTGATGAGAGGTATACATTTGTGTATACATGGCGTTGACACAATGTTCACATGAAATTGTTGAGAAACCTCCACCACTGTATGTGTTGCTAATTCTGACCAACACCTATTGCTGTTTCTTGTTTTTGGTTGACAACATTAAAAATGTTCCAAAGCCAACACTTTGAACTGGCAAAAACAGTCTTCAGACTAAGTTGTTGGTCAATCATGAACCGTCCATTCCACACGGCCTTAAATTAATTAATTAATTAATTTGTATTGTGCTGCCACGCTTTCCCACTGCTCCCGTTTTGGGTTTAATCTTTCCATTTCTTTAGCTCAATACTCACAAATAGACCAACATGCTCGTACATCATGTTTATTCCTGTTTTTTCAACAAAATATATTTTACGAAGAAAATAAATTATATACTATATGATGCTTTCGTTTCTTTCTTTCTTTTATTTTGTGCACGGTGGCTGAGAATAAATCAATTTAAAATGTCTAATTTTTTTATTAGAAGTTATTCTAAACACGCTGTCTCCACGGTGATGAACTCCTCTAAAATTTCGGTGCACCGCCACGGCCTTCGCTTGAAAATCACAATGGATTAAACCGAGTGATTTTCACATTAAACACAAATATTTTATCAATAATATAAAAAAAATAAAAACGACTAATTAAAAAAATTAAACGTATTGATAAATGAACGATTTTCACATAAAATTCAAATGGTTTATTTTGTTTTATTTTTCTAAGAAACCTCTTTTCTTATACCCAATGGAACTAGCAAATTTACTTGAATCAAAGTATCATCAGTTTCCGTGTACGAAACCACTGTATCATACTTTTCTTCTTAATGTTATGTTAAAATTAGAAGAAGTGGTGTTTTGAAGATTTCTCAATCAATTTTCATAATTTGATAATAACTTTTTACACCATTCTTGTTTGCCCATGGAAATAAATTTAAAAATTAGGGAAAATATATTGCAAAAATAGGTTATATATAATAGAATTATGACTTCCAATGAACATGTATTTAAGTTTTTTTTTCCCTTCAGTACAATATTTTGAGTTATTTTATCCTTTTATTACTTTCTTTAACCCAATGTTATCAATCCATTCACTGTTTAACACTGGAAATGATTGATGAGTCGAGTAAGGTTTGACCAAATTAAATCTTCTCCTGATCTTTTACATTCATCAATGAACGCCTGATTTATTAGGATTGTATGAAAAAACGGATACTTTAATAATTCTTCCATTAAAAGGAATTAATCTTTATTTATTAATTGGATGATTCCTCACACAATGTAAAGTACAATTGACAATAGCAGACAATAGTTTATAAATTGACTATAAATTTCTTTTTATATCTTTTCATTGTTGTTATGATTATATATGATAAATGTATTATATTGTAGAATTATTATCACAAAACCTACATCTATTTCAAATGATTTAATTAGTTTTTTCTTTCATCATCAATTAAACTTCATGCAACAACTATAAGTTCTGTTTACATCACGATGCAGATAAAATGGTGACGGATTTTCATGGAATGTTGTCTCTTTTTTCTTGTTTAGTTATATTGATATACATGAAAAATGTGTGAAAAAAAAATACTACGTTTTTTGCATCAAGTTGAAAATAAATACACCGACAGTTAACATAAATAATAAATATATATTTTTATTATTTATTATCACTTTTTTTTCTTTTCCTTATTCTTATTCACCCTCTTATTTTCTATCATATAACCTTTTAATTTCTATCATATATCCAAATACCAAAGTACGTTGTTATAAGTATTCTGGTTGAGCTAAACTTTACCAGTACACCTGAGATCGCATTAATGCTTTATGTGACTCATAAATCTTATAATTAATCATCCAACCTCTATCAACTTGACAAAGCTTAAATACAGTATTATAAACAGTATTATTTTCTACCACATTTAAGTTTTGCAAAGGAAATCCACGAAGCTATTGCACATTTGACCAGATGTTTTGGTCCCCATTTGACAACAATCTCCTCGGTCCCATTTCCTCAAAGTCAATCATGACAAAAATGGTTAAAAGCACAGTCATAAAACATTTTTACTGTTTAAATAGTTTAACTTATTTAAAAAGTGATATTCTCTTTGATAAAGTTTGAAAGAACTTATTCCAAAAATATATAGGTACTTAATTTAAGTTGCGAATGTATACAAATTTTGGTTTAAGTTGTGTGTTGAATAAGGTTTTATTATTCGGTGGGTAAATTGACCGGATGCAGGGGAGCTTAGTCAAACGTGATTAGACAAAGTATGCGATGAAATTGACAGAAAAGCCCCTGAGAAAACTTCTAGGAAGCAGAGAAGCACTTGCGGTTTGATCCGCAGCAGAATGAAGATATTGAGATGATAACTCTCTGTTTCTTAACTGTCATGGAACCAGGCTTCACCAACTTTCTAACCTCTTTCCTTCAAATGTATCTATATAAACTTCCCAAGAGTCATCGCCTACAACACATTCTCATTCTAAAATCTACACCCTTTATTTTTGAGCCGGGGAATGGAATTCGAAGACTTGCTACCGGTGATCGCCGGTAAACTGGGCGGTGAGGGACTGATTGATGAGCTTTGCAAGGGGTTTCAGGTGCTGATGGACAAGGAGAAGGGGGTGATCACCTTGGAGAGTTTGAGGAAGAACTCTGCTACAATGGGTTTGCAGGATTTTAAAGAGGAAGAGCTTGCGAGCATGATGAGGGAAGGAGATCTGGACGGTGATGGTGCACTCTCTCAGATGGAGTTCTGCGTTTTGATGTTCAGATTGAGTCCACAGTTGATGCAGGACTCTTGGTTTTGGCTCCAACAGGCTCTTCACCATAACAACAACGCTTCCCTTTGAACTCATTTCCAGGTTCTTCCAAAAACGACTCCGTTTTCACAATTGAAATCGGATGGTAGAAATACACCCTCACTCAATAATGTATTACTCCTATTTCATATTATGTTTCTTGAATCATACAATTTTATGTTTATTCTAACACCATTTGCAATGTTTTTGTGTATATTTAACAAACTAACTATTATTAAGAGTTATTATACGTGTTGTTACTTTATATTCTCTACGGATATCACCCACAAACCCTAAAAGAAATTAATAACACTTGATGATTAGGGATCAATTAATTACACTTATCTCACGATTAGTAAAAAAATAAAAAATCATACCTTGAATGTTCTATCTGGAGCGTTCGCTGCCAGATTTATATACCAAAACAATTTTTATCTTTTGCTAAGAGCTCTCTCTGATGTGTTAATTAATTTTTTAGCTTTGGAGTTTTTGCTGTCGTTGACCTGAATGAATATTTGGTGCATTTGCTTTGAATGGCGAATACATATTTCAGTTTCTTTTTTGCTAAGGAAATTAATCAAGATTCATAATATATAATATATGGAGATAAATTGCTGCCACTATTAGATTTATATATATTAAACTTTGGAAGTAGTTGGCAGTGTTCCCAACAAGGTTTTGTTCTTTTCATGTCTTATTCTTTTTTTCATAAAGACTATAACTTCTATAATGAAAATTCTATGCTTAAACCTTACGCCTTTTTCGATGGAAAAACAAGGAAAGGAACGAATTTATAAATTTAAGAGAATTTTGCATATCATATATGATTCCTCATTTTATGTTTAATTTATTGAAAGCAAAGGGGTAAGAAACTGTTCTAGTTATGATTTTGATTTATATATTATGTTTTTATATTTTATCACATCATTTCGTACACTCTTTATTTTATCTTTCTTCTTTTTCTCTCCCACTTCATAAAATATTCACAAAGTAGTTTTATTTTATTTAAATACAATACTAAGTCTAAGTCCAACCAAATAAATACTTAATTATTATTAATTGGTTTGATGATTTTTAATTTTTTTAGTTTACTAATAATATAACGTAATGTTTAATTACTAAATTATGTTAAATTTATTTTCAATGGACTGGATAAAACATCATTAGTTTTTTTAAAAATTTGATTATCTAATAAAAAATCAATATAATCTATATATTATGAATGAATGTCCAATTCAACCATAAAAATAAGATATTTGAAAAAAATAAAAAGTTAAATATAATTCATAAATTATATAAATAATTTAATTCAATATATTTGAATTGAATAAAAAAGGTTGATTAAGGTCGAGACAACAATAATATAATTGAGGTTGAACCAATGGTATGTTTAAAGGTTAAAATTGAGATAAAAATGACTTAGTTAAGGTTGAATGAATGAAATTTTGGTTAAGAGCAATGACTTGATTGAAAAGGAATAAAAAATACTTCTATTAAGATTTAAGGTTAAAACTCAATGTCTCTAAAGAATTAGAAATGTCATGACTTTGAGTGAAATGTTTATCTTTCAATCGGAACAAAATTAATTATTTCTCTAT